AGACGAGAGCGAGCACTTGGCGTTTGGGTTTGTTCTGTCTCCTTATTTTGTTTTTCGCTAGTCCTGTTGCCCTTGAAACACGCTCTGTTGTGGTCCAGTGTTGGGACTTGTACTCTTTATTAGATAGCTCTGTACTAGTGACTTCCAGGTTCTGGGAGGGATTTCTGTATATATTTTTTTAGGGTTACTTCCGCCTTGTTATTCTTGTTTAGATTATTGTTATCGTTAGTTTCTGCCCTTTCGCTCATTGGTTGATGTTCTTGGTTACGGTTGGCTTAACTATTGCTAGGGCATAGTAGGTGCCATCATCACTCGAGAAATCGGGTCGTGGCAAGTTGGTATCAAAGCCTCAGGTTCACTGGTCGCACTTGTACAGAGCTAACGTCTAGTATACTATTGCGGATCGGTGCGGAGACGTCTGTAACTTTTCTTCGGGAACACCGGTCACATGGACTGAGTTTTCAGAGGCCTTCTTGGCCCGATTTATTCCCAGGAGCATCAGAGATCAGCTCAGAGATCAGTTTGCTCGGTTAGAGCAGGGCTCTATGACAGTATCAGAGTATGAGGCCCAATTCCACGAGCTCTCCAGGCATGCCGCCATGATATTACCTACTGAGGAGGAGAGGGTTCGTTGTTTTGTTCGGGGTTTGAGACTACAGTTGCGGATTGAGACTCAGTCTTTAGTCTCAGCGGGCCGCTCATTTCTGGATGTAGTGGACCATGCCCGCACTATCGAGCAGCTCCGTCGCGAGGCCCAAGGGGGCAGCGGCAAGAGAGCTAGACAGGAGGATAGCTATGATAGGCGCCGTTTCAGACCCCGAGAGTCTTATGATAGATCCCAGCAGAGGTTTCAGTCGGGTCAGTCTAGTAGCCCCTTCCAGGCTGCTCTCCAGGCATCAGAGGGTGATCAGCACCGCCATATTGGTTGTAGTGCCGGTCCTAGTCGAGGCCGAGATAGTTCACAGATGGGTTCTTCTGGCCGGGGTAGCCGACCTTCAGCTCTCAGTCGACAGTCCCAGGGGTGTTATGAGTGTGGGGATTTAGATCATTGGGCCCGCGAGTGTCCCCATCGCAGGTTAGCCTTACCCGCTCCACAGGCAGTAGGCATGCGCCAGCACCTCCAGCTAGAGGCAGAGGCCAGGGACAGGACCGTAGGGGTGGTCACCAGGGTATACGGGGTGGTCCCCGAGGAGGCAGATTAGGGGGCAGAGCCGATGCACAGGGTAGGGGAGTCCAGGCCCACTTTTATGCACCTCCAGGTAGAGAAGATGCGGAGACCTCGGACGATGTGATCACAGGTACAGTGTTATTATGCCAGCAGCCCGCCTTGGCTTTATTTGATCCAGGCTCTACTTTTTCGTATGTTTCTGTCTACTATGCCTCTCGATTGAGTTTGATGTCTGAGCCTCTGGTAGCGCCGTTGCGTGTGTCGACCCCCGTGGGTGAGTTTTTAGTAGTGGATCAGGTATTTCGATCTTGCTTAGGTACTATGCAGGGGCGTGACACCCGGACTGACCTTATATTGCTTGACAGGGTTGATTTCGATTTGATTGTGGGCATGGACTGGTTATCCCCTTATCGCGCTATTTTAGATTGCTTTTCTAAGACCGTTACCTTTGCCATTTATAGTATTCCTCCGGTGGTGTAGCAGGGATCTCTTGGTAGCACACCAGTTGGGGTTATATCTTTTATTCGTGGTAGGAGGCTAGTGGCTAGTGGATGCCTATCATATTTGGCCTATGTGCGTGATGTGAGTAGGGAGGTTCCTCCGGTTGAGTCAGTTCCTGTTATTCGTGACTTCTTATATGTATTTCCTACTGACCTACCTCACCTACCATCGGAGCGTGATACTGATTTTCCGATTGAGCTTGAGCTAGGTACTCACCCTATTTCTAATCCGCCATATCGGATGTCTCCTGCAGAGCTCAAGGAGCTCAGTGTTCAGCTTCAGGATCTCTTGGGTAAATGATTTCTCAGACCTAGTGTATACATCTTGGGGTGCTCCCGTTCTTTTTGTTAAGAATAACGGACGATACGATGCGCATGTGCATTGACTATAGACAGTTGTATAAGGTGACAGTGAAGAATAGTTATCGTTTGCCTAGGATTGATGGCCTATTTGACCAGCTGAAAAGAGCTTCCGTGTTCTCTAAGATTGATTTGAGGTCCGGTTACCACCAGTTGAGGATTAGGGCAGCGGAAATCCCTAAGACTGTATTTAGGACCCGTTATGGACATTATGAGTTCTTGGTGATGTCATTGGGGTTGAGGAATCCCACTGCTGCCTTTTTAAACTAGATGAAGCGCGTGTTCAGGCCTTATCTTGATTCCTTCGTTATAGTCTTCATTGATGACATTTTGATATACTCGCGGAGTAGAGGTGATCATGAGCAGCATTTTAGAGTTGTGCTCCTGACTTTGAGAGATCAGCGGCTTTATGCCAAGTTTTCTAAGTGCCAATTTTTGTTAGACTCTGTAGCATTCTTGGCTAATGTTGTATCGAAAGAGGGCACTATGGTAGATCCGGCGAAGATTGAGGCTATTCGTGATTGGGCTAGGCCCACCTCAGTTACTGAGATTCGGAGCTTCGTCGGACTAGCAGGCTACTACATATGATTTTTTAGAGGGTTTCTCTACCTTGGCAACACCTCTGACCCGGTTGACTCCTGTTGATGTTCCCTTTATTTGGTCAGAGGAGTGTGAGGCGATCTTTTGAGGCTCAAGGAGTTATTGACCACCGGTCCTATATTTGACTCTTCCAGTTGAGGGCGAGGGCTTCATGGTTTTTTGTGATGCATCCGGCATTGGTTTGGGCTGTGTATAGATGCAGCAGGGCCGGGTTATTGCTTATACGTCGAGGCAGCTTAAGATTCTTGAGCGCAACAACCCCACCCATGACTTAGAGTTGGCGGGGATAGTTTTCACACTTTAGATTTGGAGGCACTACTTGTATGGAGTTCGATGTGAGATATATACCGATCACAGGATTCTTCAGTACATCATGGCCAGAGGACCTTAATTCGAGGCAGCGTCGTTGGATTGAGCTCCTAAAGGACTATGACCTCTCTATTCTCTATCATTCGGGCAAGGCGAATGTGGTAGCGGATGCCTTGAGGCGAAAGGCTGTTAGTATGGGTAGCCTAGCATTCTTATCTGTTGAGGAGCGACCCTTGGCTATGGACATACAGTTCATAGCCAATAGCATGGTTCGGTTGGATATCTCAGATCCTAAACGTGTCCCAGCCCATATGGGAATTCACTCTTCCTTGCTTGATAGGATCTGTGGTTGTCAGTTTGAGGATGAGGCCTTGGTGGCCCTTAGAGATCGAGTGTTAGCGGGTGATGGTGGTCAGGCTACCTTAGATCCTGATGGAGTGTTGAAATTTGCCGGCCGCATCTGTGTTTCGAGAGTTGGAGATTTGATACAGTTGATACTTTCTAAGGCCCATGTGTCTAGATACTCTATCCATCCGTGCACAGCGAAGATGTATCGTGATTTGAGGCAGCATTAATGGTGGAGTGGCATGAGGAGAGATATTGCTGACTTTGTTTCCCGTTGCTTGTGCTGCCAGCAGGTAAAGGCCGAGCATTTGAGACCAGGTGGCGAGTTCCAGAGATTACCCATTCCGGAGTGAAAGTGGGAGCGTATCACTATGGACTTCGTTGTGGGGTTGCCTTGGACTTCTAGAGGTGTTGAAAGCATTTGGGTCATCGTGGATCGATTGACCAAGTCAGCACACTTCCTTCCTGTTCATACTACCTTCAGTGCTGAGAGGTTGGCTCGTATCTATATTCGGGAGGTAGTTCGTCTTCATGGTGTGCCTGTTTCTATCATTTCAGATCGGGGTTCACAGTTCACTTCCAGCTTTTGGAGTGCTTTTCAGGAGGAGTTGGAGTTGGTTGGTTTTAGTCTACAGAGCCTAGGCCGCGTGGTACAGATTTGCTTTAGGAGGCCCTGGATCAGGTGAGGGTGATTCAGGATAGGCTCAGGACAGCTCAGAATAGGCACCACAGTTATGTGGATCAGAGGCGTCGACCTTTGAGATTCTCTGTTGGTGACCGGGTATTCCTCCGTGTGTCGCCCATGAAGGGCGTGATGAGGTTTGGGAGGCGGGGCAAGCTTGGCCCCAGGTACATTGGGCCTTTTGAGATACTTCGGACAGTTGGGGAGGTTGCTTATGAGTTGGCCCTACCTCCAGCATATTCAGCCAGCCACCTGATTTTCCATGTCTCGATGTTGCGGTATTATGTTCCTATTGAGTCCCATGTGCTCCAGTATGATGCAGTCGAGCTGGATGATCGTTTGACATTTGTAGAGGAACCAGCTGCCATTCTAGCCAGTGATGTGAAGAGATTGCGCTAAAGAGCCATTCGTTTTGTTAAGGTCCGTTGGAGGCATCGTCCAGTCAAGGAGGCTACCTGGGAGACCGAGCAGGAGATGCAAGAGAAATTTCCTGGCTTGTTTGAGCCTTCAGGTATTTCTTGATCCTATCTTTCGTGAACGAAAGTCCTTTTTAGTAGTGGATATTGTAATGACCCTCCAGGTCATTTCTGTGTCTTGCCTTTTGTGTGTCGTTTAGAGCGTTCCTGTAGCGATCCCAAGTCATTTATAACTTGCTGGGACTGAAAGTTCGGTCACCTGGTCATATGTTTGGTCTTGGTGTGAGTTTTTATGTTTTGGAGCTTATGAACTTTGAACGATCATTTTAGATCAAAAGTTCAAGAAGATAACATCGGAATCCAATTTTGACGATTCCATCAGCTCCGGAAGGGTCATTTTAGGCTAGTGGCATGGTGGACATGACTCCCGAGGATTTCAGTATGAGTCGGCGCGATTAGGCGTTTTAACTTTAAGTTTAAGCCTAAGTTTGACTTTGGTCAACATTCTGAGTAAACGAGCTCGGATGAGAATTCCGTCAGCGCGGTTAGTTTCGGAATGTCAAGTTTGGTCCAGATTGACCATTATTTGGTGTCCCGAGGTTTTGGATATCTTTCTGAGCTCTTTTATGGGTTTTGACTTAAAATGGCCTTTCGAAATAGGACCCACTTTTTATCGAGATGACGTCTGTGGAAATATGGAGTACGCCGTTGAGTCCAGAATATCAAATTTGGTATTGTTGCATATCTGGTTTGAGTGCACAGGTTCCGAACGAGTTCAGAGCACACTATCGGAGATTTTAGTTTTGGAAAAAAGTTGCGGCAAATCTGCTATTTACTGCAGAAAAACAGCTACCTTTTCCACACCCTGAAACTCTCATAACTCTCTCATCTTTTGTCCGAATTTGGTGATTCGAAGTGCGGGAGCTTCGTATTTTCGGTGACTTTGCTCAAAAGTGTTCGAAAGTTGTTGGGTGCACGTAGTTCGAGGTAATTTTGCGATTTACCTGACTACTGTACCCCATTTTCGAGCCTTTGTTTTTGGCATTCTTGTTTTGATCATATCTCTCTCATTTTAGCTCGGTTTGGGTGAATCAAAGTCCCACGTGTTGATAATTGTCGAGACTTCATCATAGAGTATTCAAAGAGTTCTGGGCACCGTTCGATTCTTGTTTATTCTGAGTTTTGACTGCTGCTGTTTTGTTTTTTTTAGTTGATTAAAGTGTGTTTTCTTGCTTGTTGGTTTTTGCTATGTTTTGAGCCTCTAATTGTGTTCCATTTTGGAACGTAAGTTTGGGGTGCTGTTTAGGGTCTCTCGACGGAGTCAAATTCGGACAGTTCAGTTCGGATCCCATGATTCCCGTTTTGACTCCAAATTTGACCCGTCTCCGTTTGTTGTTACTTTGGTGTCTAACCGATCGTACTAACGTTGTGATCCTATATTTGATAAAGTGACAGCGTTCAAAGGTCATTAGGGAAGGAAAAGCTCCGGTCAAGTGATTTGTAGCGCGCACAGTCGGCCTTAAGGTAGGCAACGACTTACTTTCTTTTAGATTGAGCTTAATTGTGTAAGAACATATCGATTGGAGTGAATTGTGGGAGGGTACCAGTTTGCTACCTTACTTTGATTAGATACCTCATGTTAGGATCGATTGGCCATATTTCGGGTATATTATCATGTTAACCGGTTTAGTAGAGTTGCATGCTTATGTGCTAAATGCTATTGTATGCTTGTATGATATGTATTGTATGCCTTGTTCCGCCTTAACCGTAAGCATGATGTCCTTAGTCTAGGTTAGGCAAGCAGTGCCTTAGACTTATGACCCGTATGGGCTCCTGCACTATTGTATCTGCCCCCTTTCATTCTACGGTTCTGACGCATTCTCGAAGATTTGCTGCATCACTAGAGGCGTGGGATTGAGATAGTATAGGCTTGGAGTCTTTTCTGTGATGTCTTAGAGTGGACGGCGTTGCACGGTGGTTGTTGTTGGATTGAATCCTATTGGAGATACCATCACCCCCCGGGGTCGTTCTTTCTGGCTGGGTTGGGAACGTATCGCTAGCTGGGTTTCTTTCTGGCTGGGTTGGGAACGTATCGCTGGCTGGGTTGACTCGATGATTTCGGCGATCTCCCCCAGGCCTAGTTTTGTAGCTGGGCTGGGAGTGTGATGCCTGCGGGATGTCCCCAGGTCACCCTTTCTAGCTTGGTTGGGAGCTGACTGCATGGTAGGACGACTCGCGATATCTACCTCACTAACGGGTATCTCTTTCAAGCTGGGCTGGGAGTGGACTCTTTGTTTGGGTGCCCCATAGGTTCACTCTTTCTAGCTGGGCTCAGAGTGCACTGCTGGCTGGGTGGAGTCTGATGGAATATCTTAGTTTCTTCGGGCTGGGAGCCCGATTTTCTTCTTTCT